CCTGTAGCTTTTCAATGGCATCAGTATACTTACAACTGAATAGTCTGCCCGAGTCCTTGAGCACTTTGCATGTTGAAAAATTGCAGACGTTTCTCTCAGAAAGCTTGGCTTAACATAGCATGCATTTTGTGCAGAATGCCCTGACAATATCAAAGGCAACACTGACAAGCTTCCCTGACCTTATAAGTCTTGGTAAGTATACTCAGCTCCTGTGAAATGTCAATAAGAAAAGCCAAGTCCATAAGCCATTTGGGATCATTTAGTACGGGAACAACCACCCCATCTTTTTCCACGAAGGCTTTGATTTCTTCTCTCAGCTCAAAAATTATTTTCAAGATGTTTTCCCTACTTAGCCATCGTACCATTGGTGTAGTATATAACATCTTAAATGCTGAATTTATTTCCTCTAAAAATGCATGGAACTTGACGATGCTTCCAGCCCCTGGAGCTGATATTGCATGCATTTCACAATGTTAGACTTGTTTCAGGTATTTACTGCAAAGGGCCTGCTGATGAATAATGCACTGAAGCAATGGCCTCTTCCATACGCTCCTCTTCCAGTTTTCTTTGAACATGTGCCACTATTTTGTTTTATGTCATAATTCGCAAGCCGTTAACATTTTTGGGTCATCTTTTCAAAATGTTATTTAACAAATTATTGTCGCTCATGTCCTCAAAAATAAGGGAACACATTGTCATCTCTCATCTGATCACTCTATGCCACGTGATAAATTTTCAGTTTTATAATATCCACTTCGTTGTATTTATCTTTTGTTTATGAAACTATGTAAATATATATAACTATCAATATAAATGACAAGTCGTGCTTCAATTTCCAGGAATCTATCAAATAACTAGTGAAAAATTAAGTTCAACTGTCGGAAAAGATTCGCAATAAAAATCTAACGAACTAATTAATTAAAGAGACATGGGAAATTATGTAGGGTATTAAAAATAATAGAACTATTAACATACTTTTAAAAAAAAAATATATCATTTCCATAACAGAGAAACTGCGATCATCACAAAATCTATAGACTAATGTTAAAAAGTGGGATTGTTTCAGAGGAGGTTTTGGTGGTCTGATTGTAAAAATTGATCATGAGAATCGCCTACGCTGGCCGTCAGGCTACAGCCGACGAATGCTTGAGTTCAGGCCTGGCACACACTGGTTGAGTAAACAGAAGTCCACAAGCCGAGTTAACAGATTGGGGCACAACAAACATAATTATTAAGTTAGGCCAACAGCCGTTTAATATTTATCATTGTCTCCAGGCACTGGACTATGAATGTATGTTTAAAATGTGTAGCTTAGAGATTGAAAAAAAACAATAGAGCTATAGTTACTCCAAAGAGACTTGACTATTTTGTCCATTTAAGTGTTTCTATAGTGGTTTTATAGTTGTAAGACCAATTTATGAACACTACTCTCTAGTAGTGTTCATAAATTGTTCTTACAACTTTAAAACCATTGCGAGTTAAACTAAATAAAAATCTTAATATAACTTTAACACAACATTTCAAACATTTGTTTAATTAAAAAAACATGTTTTATGTTTATAAATGAAAAAATTATTACATGGCACAATGTCATCTGGAAACTGTTTTTATGTGTAATATAAAGATATAAATTATGTGGATCGAAAGAAGTGCAATTCTCCCATATACATGAATATGCAGTAGGCTTCTTATTATGTACTGGTAAAAGATTGTGATGTGGAAATCAAATTATGACACAAACCCTACAACGAATTTATAATGTACATAATCTACTTCTGCCCCCTGAATGTTCGAATTACGGTACTATGGATATACAATTTGAACCTTATTTTTTATATAACTCTATATGAATATCCAAGTAAATAAAAAAAAATGTTGCTAAAAGACAATTAAAAAAAACAACATGTTAATGAAAATGTTTTATTAAATGCCCATACACAGATAATTAAAGTAAATGTATGTTGTCAAACTGAACGATTATTTTATCTAAGGAAAAATGGCAGACTTCTTTAAAATATGCTAGCTGTACTAATAGAGTCAGCTAGCATATGCCCATAAAAAGATAATTAAAGTAAATGTATGTTATCAAACTGAACGATTATTTTATCTAAGGAAAAATGTCAGACTTCATTAAAAGATGCTAGCTGACTATCTGTACTAAGGTTTATTTCAGGCATCTCTCGCCCCCCCCCAACCGTAATAGTCAAGTGCCCCCTCCCCCCCCCCCCGAGCAAAATGTGTTAAAACAATAGAACTATTATACTTAAAAGATCCTTGCTGACTATTTGTACTAAGGTTTATTTCAGGCATCCCCCCCCCCCCCCCAACCGTAATAGTCAAGTGCCCCCTCCCCCCCCCCCCGAGCAAAATGTGTTAAAACAATAGAACTATTATACATTTTGAAAAGTTAAAAAGACTAAATGGTCATTTTTAAACAGTTTTAAAAGCATAGTAACTGGTGCTTTATCCGATTACAATTTCGTTGAATCTGTCAAATATCGTTACGCTCGATATATTTAATGATCCGTATATTTAAGGCTAATCTGTTCAAGGCTTATATTGTTCCATTATAAATATCGTACTGGCCGCTTCTGATTATAAGCTGAAATCTTACTTCCCGTTGTTCGCACGTATCAGCATTTTTATTCTATTCATAGATATATTTTTTTAGTAGCAAATTCACAAATTTTAATTTTTAATAACACTGTATTAAATTACCTTTACATCAAAATCAAGGACTAAAATTCTAATAATATTTTTTTTTCAAATATAAAACATGCGCAGTCTATGTTTTAATTTTATTTCATTGTAAAAGCATTACTTTAAAAGTAGGTAGGGATAGGAGTTAATAATCAATTGTATGATGATATTAGGCTTTAAAAAAATATTTTATTGGCATTACTATATATGTACTCAATTCCATGAATTTTGAGTTACATAAAATGAAGTTTAAAAAATTTAGAGATATTATTTTAAGATGTTAATTCAAATAGTGCAACTTTCATTAACTTTTGCGTTTTCTTCATACGTGCTACGTTTGTAAAAAAGTTTCCTGAATAATAGAGGTTTAAAAAAAAATATATATATTTCTTAAATTTCAACCAGCTTTTATCTTTTTAATATTAGAATAATAAACAAATTGTCCCATTTGTTTGCGAGAATTAAAAAAAAATAATATGTTTTCAAGATGAGAATCTATCACAAAACTGAAGTAAAAGAAATGAACTAGCGTTTCGATTATCATGCAAATTCCATTTTTGGAGGGTATTTGTTTAAGAATAAATTCTTATACATTATCAATTTAAAATAAATTCTGTGGATTTGAATGTTTTAAAGTATATCTAAGTGGAAATGTTCAATTTATCTGATAAAAGCTATTGTAGGTTAAAATGAAAAAAAAAATCAATCAACTGAATATTGGAAAATTTCTACAATGAATTTTGTAAGCAACTTCATGTCTTTTTTACATAATAATACTGTTTATATACGATTCATAAAAATGACCAGTTTAGATAACCCATAAAATTGATAGAAATTTCTACTTAAAGTTTTTTTTCCTCTCCTTCTTCATTTTGGTAAAACTTGGTAATATTTAGCAAAGTTAAATATTTCGTTTAAGTTGATTATTATGAGTAATATTTTCCTTGTGTTTAGCATATAAAATTATGTAAGCAATGCTTTTAGGTGATGGAATTTTTTCTTAAAGTTCACTTATTAGCAAGGTAAATAACCCCAAAAGAAGTTTAAATTTGAAAAGAAATGGAAGCCACATACAACATCGTAATATAAATATAATATTTACATAACACAAATACGTCAAGCAGAGTTATTACTCGACTTTTCGAGGCCCCTATTGCCACTTTTTAGTTTTGTCATCCCCCCCTCCGCCACCTTTGCGTTGGAAGATAATTAATAAGGCAATATGGACATCACATCTAAAGCCCTAAAATATGCAGCAGCTGTAGGGATTGCAATCAGCTCACTCGATGTTTCTAAGGTTAAGTGACACCCACTTTTTTTAAAACTAACATTTCTTCCGTTGCTCTCCAAGTTTAGAATGTTGCAAAACTAAATTAAAGTATTTGCTAAAATGTATTCCTTTATTTTTAATTTATCAAAAATTTACTGGGAACTATAAAGATTTAATAGTCGATTTAAGCTAGGGAAAATGCATACCCCCAGTGACGCCACATTAGGAATAGATTTAAAAGTTTTTAAACGGACAGTTAGGAAAAACTTTATAACATAAATAATTAAATAATCGAATCTAGTGTGTAGCCTCAAAATTCTCCATATATCTAGACTATGTTAGCTTCCTCGCCTCGAGCTCGCTAAAGGTAAGGCGTTGGATGAAACAGGCATAGGAGGGGTCTTTCAGTCGTCTACTTAAATTTGACGTGCGATGAATTTAAAGATATATTCTTACCTTAATTATTTTAGACTAGCAATACCAGCTGCAAAGCGTGAACTTTCCTTAATTTAAAGATACCTGAAAACAGCTAGGTTCAAGTAAGACATTTCGTAATAATCCCAATTATTGCTTATCCACACAAGGTATTTTTACGCACACTTCATAACACCCGTGAACCTTATTGACAGCATAATTTCCCCATACACTTTTGCACCGCAGATTAATTACGCCATAAGAAATTTTGAATATTTCCTTAATCTATATGAATATATTACACACATGCAGCATATTTCAAAATTTCATTTAACGTAGTTTTAAGGATTTTTTTTTCGTGCCCTATTGAACTCGTTATTACAAACTTGTAATACTTACAGAGCAAGATATATGATTAGTAAACAATTTGAAATAACTTAAGTCCCAAATTTTAGGAAATAATGCCGCGACTTGTGACTAAATAAAACTTTAATAAAAAATGTAAAACACATCGCTACCTCTTTTGCGATTTTAATTAGAAAATAGAAAATGTGTTAACTAAGCTTATTTCTTCTTTCTCAGGAATTAAAATAAAAATAAGGATTAAAATTTCAACATGTCAACAAAACCAGAAATAGCCTGTGCCATCATTGAAGGCATATCATCCGTGAGAGAAGTTGAAGGACTCCAGGATTTCGTTGTTGAAGTTGAAGGCAAAGAATTTAAATGTCATCGTCTGATACTCAGCGCGTGTTCTGGATTTTTCCGTGGTCTTCTCAGGTCTGGGATGAAAGAATCGCAGAAAAAAAGAAAAAAGCTTCAGGGTGTATCCAAGGAAACGTTCGCTGCCATTTTAGAAACTCTCTACACCGGGAGGGACAATCTGACACGTGACAACATGTTAAAGGTTTTGCTGGCTGCAGATAAACTTCAAATAACATTTGTGTTAAATAATTGTGTAAATTTTATATCGAAAAATATTTACAGTGTCAATGTTATTTTCGTTCTGAAAAAAAGCTTATCAACTACTGAACAAAAATATCATAGAAATGTGCGAATCATTTATTAGAAACCACATATCTGTGGAGAATTGGGAAACGTTTCATTCGATTGCAAATGAAATTGGATCAGTTGTGACACTGTCAAATGTTCGAGATTTTATTAAAAGAAATTATGAACAAGTCATGAGGTCCAAGACTTTTCTGTGTCTTACTGAACACGATTTACTTGACATTATAAAAAGTCAAGATCTGGTTGTATCTTCTGAAGACATTGTCATTGAGTCAATTCTATATTGGATCAACAAAGAATATGAAGTTAGATCTGATACAAAGGCTGGAGATCTGTGCGTGGACACTAGTTTTTCCCAAAGTGAAGAGGAGGGGTGGGCTGGAAATTGGTACTATGACTCTAGTCATGGCACAAGTGATGAAGAAGATGAAGAAGTAGATGAAGAAGAAGAGGAAAAAGAATTTTCAATGCGATATCGCAAGTTATCTCTTGAAAGTCTTCTTTCAGAAACTAGAGTTTTCCTGGTTAACTCAATAAGTCTAGAAAAACTATTACGAAACACGTTAATTATGGACAACCAAAAAACAAAAGAAATGGTCATGGATGCCTTATTATATAAATCTATTGGACGTCAACATGGAGTTTGGTTCAAAGCTGCCACTCATAGAAGTTGTAGTGGCTTAGAAAATGTTGGAGTCATGGGTTGTCGTGGGGGTGTCTTTTATGCTCTTTCCTATTACCTAAATTTAGATGGTTGAAACTTCCGAAATGCCAGTAACTTGTCAACTGCACTTCTGTCTAATTAATTTCTTACATGACGGACTTTTTTGCAGTCGGAGATTTACTAAATGACAGCAGCTTGTGTGTGTTTGTACAAAATGAGTGGCGTGAAGTCAAGAAACTCTCAGGTCACGGATGGCTGGGTGTGGCTGTTGAAGAATTTGTCTATTTAATTAATTCTTCTAATCAACGACTCAACAGATTTAACCCAAGACTTGGGAATTGTGTACTTGAAAAGTTTATCAACTTTCCTAAAATGCAGACCATAGAACACGTCTGTTCATTCGATTTCTTAATAATTGTATTTTGTCCAGAGATTATAAATGGCCTGGACATGACTGCTGTTCATTGTCTTGACACAAGGTCTCAAAAATGGAAAAAACCTGACAAAATTATTGGATCAGCCAAGAGCATCGTTAGTTTTAGAAAAGAGAAACGATTATATATCCTTCAAACTGACGGCAAACTATGGGAAGTTAACCAAGAAGAAGTAAGTAGTGTAAGGTTAAAGTTGCTTAAGAGACTTTGGAATGGAAATATCAAAATGTATGGCGTCATCAACATTAACGAGTTCCTTTATTTTATTACGGGCTGAAATAAAGATATAGTATTTTCAGTAACTTCAAAACTGTTTCTTAACATTCAACAATGTAATGAAATTCGTGGTACGTCTTGGTCTAATACTGTAGCCGCTGTCGTAAAGTCCTTTGCGCGTTGATATATTGGATGGAGATATTGTATACATAAAACCATTCCATATATGTGGCGAAATTTTGATTAAAAAAACTAAGGGAGACAACACTAACTAATAAATACAAAGCAAGATTCCCATTAGCAAAGTGTCATTGACTTACTGAAAATTCCGGAAACTCCAGCGACGCCCCTGGTTCCAAGTTTCCTCATCCACTTCAAGTTCGGTTGTTTTAGCCATCGTCGTTGATAAGGAATCTATTGACTATTCAAGCGTTACATGTATACACCACCCGACTCGGACTTCAAAATAGTTTCTTTTTACAAATGAATGTTGGTTTAAAAATATTTCTAGAAATGTGTGTGTTGTATGTGTGATTGTTTTCACTTTGCTTGTTAGTATATTTAATCGTTATTCGACAAGAAATGATGGGTTCCAGCAACAGAAGGTAATTATGACATTTCAGTAGACTTTTTCCATCTAATACTTAACTGGCATGTTAATGTTATAATGAAGCAAAATCGTTTCACAACAAATCAATTAGATCCATGTGGATTGAACTCAATAGACAATTTAAATTTACACAACGTTACTGGAAGCTACCAGTTTTAAATTAAATACAGAAAAAGAAAACACAAAAAAATGAAAAGAAACAAAAATAAAAATAAATAAAATCGAGTTTAAATATAATGCATGTCATTTTTAAAACAGCTGATGAAAAATTATCAAAATTGACACTTTCTTGTTTTTTTTTGTTTTTTTAACAGAAAACAAAAGTGGGTGGCAGCGGAAACCTCAAACGTGTCTCATCGACTTCCGCTTCCGGCCTCTTACGTTAATATAGCGTTTAATAACTTTATTTCTCTTTTTATTTTACATTTAACAATTTAACACATTTTTTTTTTTTGTATATACATTTAGAAAATAGAAATTGGAAAAAGAGGGGGTTTTGGGTTATTTTGTTGTTGTTTCTTTTTTTTTTAAAATGGTGTTGCAGACAGTGGCAGTGTTAAGACAAACGGTCATACATTGACACTTTCTTGGGTCCTCAACACAGGAATAACTTAGATTTCAGATTTAATAAACACAATATCATTAAAATGTACTAACTACTCGTTGCTGTCAGTCTTTTTTTGTTGATGTTGAAGAGAATAAACTCCACAAGACAAATCTGATGATGAAGTTCCAGAGAATGTCTGAGATTAAACTTAATGTTTGTACGGGAACCTTCGCTCATACACAGCTGAATCGGTCTGAATTGACCTAATAGGTAGAGTTATAACTAGATTACACTGCCTTGTCTTGACTCAGAGTCCCACCCCTCAAAATGTGTAGCCGCGTAAACCATGATTTAGTTTGTGACATACTGCGAGGTGTATCATTGGTGTCCAACTGGAATGCCATACCCTGAACTAACATTTGATTATTATAATCTGATTTAAAACATTGATATTTGTTTATCTTATTCTGAGTTCTTACAATTCTCTGGGTTTTTTTTTATTATGACAATTTTTACATGTCATTCTCCATTCATAATTGTAATTTTATTATTTTTCTTGGCACGTCATTCTAGATATCTATGTGTGTAAAGCTAGCTTTCAAAATTCAAATCCTCAGATGTATTTTGTTGATCTAATAAATAAAATAAAATAATATAATTTTAAATCTTCATTTGCATAACTCTAATTTTAACATTCATATTTATTGATGCTATTTAAAACATTCATAATTTGTTGATATTTAAATTGATCGGTTTCGTTAAATTAATTAACATCATTCATAATAATAAATAAATATGTCAGCATTCATATTTCTAAATATTATTCTTAACATTTTTAATATTTATGCATTGCTCATTTGGTTGATCTAATTAACGTACTTTATGTTTAGTTTAATTTCATATTATTATTATTCTTCGCTATTATATTTTAAATTAAACTCTTATTTTGCATATTTTTTTCATTTTTAACAAATTTGATTTGTGGAACATATTCTGAAAATAATGTTCTTTTGTGAATCTAATCATAGGCTACATGCAATTTTCTGTTTTTCTTTGCAATAATAATAGTTTATCTAATAATCAACAGAACGTTATGAAATAATGTTATTTTTTAAACCTCTATGCTTTTAATTTAATTGTTTCAAATATATACCTGTTCATCTTTTTCTCAAACATCTTATTTGTAAGTCTACTTCTTAACAGTCAGATACTTTATTTTTACTTTAAAAAAAATTTATTCTCATCCTCACTATTTGAACATATAATTCGATGTCATTAATGTTTGCTAATCTAGTTAAATGGATTCCTTTTTATCAATAACATTACCTGCATTCAATCAAAATACATATTTTTAAAACATATTTTTAGAGTTCTAGTTGCTTGACTTAGTATATAATGCCTACATTACTTTTTGTAAATCTAATTTTTCACTATTATGTTTTTTGTAGCAGCTTATTCCTTAATCGAATTTAAGTCATTATTTCTAAGATTGCCAAACCTTACATTTCACCGGAAATTTCTTTCACGCTTGTCTTTTGCAGGAAGGAACTTTCGAAACGACACTTATCATGTTGGCTTTTACCCGTATTTAAAACTTCTTTAAATCTTTGAATAGAGGATGCAGTTCAACTCAAATGTGGTTGAAATATGTATGTTTTTATCGCCTTAATAAAATAATTGATATTTGTTTCTTTCAAAGTTAACTAGTTTATATTTGTCGCAGAAGATATTGATTTTTTTGTCAAAGAAAAAAATTGTTAATCTTTCTGTAGTGAACTGGATCAAAACCATTGCTTGTGCTTGGCTTCAATGGGTATTTCAATAAGCAAAAATTCTTAAGTAATAAAATAATAAATGTGATAATACGAAATAAAACCATTTTTTTTTTTCTAAAATGTACATATATTGGTACATAAAAAATTTAGGTGAAGTAATTTTTAATTTTCTCTTGATGTACTTTTATTATATCTATTCCATTAAATACCAAGGAAATTTTTTTTAAAAATCCAAAGCTAGGAATACCAAGATGTTAACCGAACCGGAAATAGCCTGTGCCATCATTGAAAGTAAATCAGCTGTTAGGGAAGATGAAGAACTTCAGGATTTCGTTGTTGAAGTTGAAGCGAAGAGTTTAAATGTCATCGTCTGATACTCAGCGCGTGTTCTGGATTTTTCCGTGGTCTTCTCAGGTCTGGGATGAAAGAGTCGCAGGAACATAGGACAAAGCTTGATGGCGTCTCCATGGAAACGTTCACAGCCATTTTAGAAACTCTCTACACCGGATGTGACAATCTGACACGTGACAACATGCTAAGTGTTTGGTTGGCTGCAGATCAACTTCAAATAACAGTTGTGTTTAATAATTGTGTAAATTTTATTACAAACAATATTTGCAGTGAGACTGTCATCTCAGTTTGGGAATTAGCATCTCAACTGATGCATCAAAATATCATAAACTCTGTGAATTGTTTCTCAGAAACAACACAACTCTAGACAACTGGGAAATTATATATTCCACTGCATAAAAATTGGGATCAACATTGATTTTGTCACATGTTCGAGATTTCATCGTGAAAAATTGTCAACACGTCATTAAATCCAATGCATTTCTGTCTCTTGGTGAAAAGGATTTACTTAAAATTATAAAAAGTCAAGATCTGGTGGTAACTACTGAAGATGTAGTCGTGGAGTCTATTCTAATTTGGGTCAAAAATGGGATTCAATTTAATTCTGAGACGACGACTAGAGATCTGAATGAGACCACCAGCAGTTTTGTCTCCATAGAAGGAGAAGAAGAAAAAGATGAAGAAAAAGAAGGCGACAAAGAAGGCGAAAAAGAAAAAGAAGTGGAGAAAGAAAACACATATAAAAAAGAAGAAAACAAAGAGGAAGATAAAAGAGACGAAGAAGAAAATATGGACAATTTTGTTATCTTCCAAAAAATGTAAATGGATATCGCAAGAAATGTCTTAAACGTCTATTTTCCGAAAAAAGAATGTGCCAAGTTAGCTCACTTGTTCTAGAAAAAGAATCACGTGACCCATTAATAATTAATAGCAAAATAACAAGAGCAATGGTCATGGATCTGCTTTATATAAATCAGTTGGAGGTCAGCATGGACTGTGGCCAAAAGGAGCTCTTCATAGAAGTTGCAGTGATTTAGAGAATTTTGGAGTCGTTGGAAGTCGTGATGGATTTTTGTTCGCTCTTTCCTGTTACCCTAAATTTAAATGGTTTAAGCTCCCAAAGTGTCCGTATCTGGAAACATGTACTAATGTAAAATTGCGATCGGTGATGTACTAGAGAACAGCAGCAGCGTGTGTGTCTTTGTACAAAATGATTGGCGTGAAATCAAGAAATTATCAGGTCACGGATGGCTGGGTGTGGCTGTTGACGAATGCATCTATTTAATTAATTCTTCTGATAAAAAAATCAATAGATTCGACCCAAGATATGGGAACAGTTTACTAAAAAGTTGTACTAGTTTCCCCACACAGGATAAAATAGAACACAATTGTTCATTTGATTGGTTCATACTTGCTCCGAGGTTGTAAAGAGCTTGGATGAGACAGCTGTACATTGTCTCGACACCAGATCCCTAACATGGACAAGACTTGAAAACCTTGAAGGATCAGTCAAAAATATATTCAGCTTCAGAAAAGAGAATCAATTCTATATTCCTCAAACTAACGGCAGTATTTTTTAAATCAACCGTGACGAATGCAAAGGAATCAATCTTAAGTTAGTGGGAATTCTTTGGCATGGGGAACATGTGCTGTATGGCGCCATCTGCTATAACGGACGCCTCTATATTAAGGGCTCAATTGATTCAAAAGGCAAAATAATTCGAGCACCTTCAACTGTCTTTCCTAAATTTGTATTCAACTTTGACAGCTGCATTAAG